CTAAGAGAGAGAGAGAGAGAGAGAGTATATAATATGACAATCAGCCATGTTGTTTGTTTCAGTCAGACCTAACAATTGCCAGTATGATGAACATTAATGTCACCCGATGCTTCATTACATGCATGAATATTTTTTTTTTCAGTCAGAGTTGGAAACAGTGGTAAAGTTGAAATAGTTTTTATAAAAGAAACTCAGGGTAAACAATGGTCGTGTCTTGGAATGCCCTTATTTCACCACAACACGTTCAAGAAAACTAGTGAAAGAGGTAAGCGTACAAATGAAAACTAGTGAAAGAGGTAAGCGTACAAATGAAAACTAGTGAAAGATAATCAGAAAAATGAAAGCCATTGAAAAGTAAGTGGACAAATGAAAGCTTGTGACAAATAATCAACAAAAATGAAAGCCATTGAAAAGTAAGTGGACAAATGAAAGCTAGTGACAGATAATCAGAAAAATGAAAGCCATTGAAAAGTAAATGGACAAATGAAAACTAGTGACAGATAATCAGAAAAATGAAAGCCATTGAAAAGTACAATGTAAGTGGACAAATGAAAGCTAGTGACAGATAATCAGAAAAATGAAAGCCATTGAAAAGTAAATGGATAAATGAAAGCTCGTGACAGATAATCAGAAAAATGAAAACCATTGAAAAGTACAATGTGAGTGGACAAATGAAAGCTAGTGACAGATAATCAAAAAAATGAAAACAATCAAAAGATAAGCAGACAAATGAAAACTAGAAATAGAGTTTAGCTGACTAATGATTACTACCGTACTGACAGAAGTGGACTAATGAAAACTAGTGATGGAAGGAAGTAGAAAAATGAAAATTAGTGATGCTGAAAAACTATTTATTTTCAGTGACATTGAATTTGGCTAAATTGATGTTTTGAGCTATTTCACTTTTTTTTAGCTTCGCTGTCGACTTTGTCGAGCGGAGCTTATCATATGAGTGATTGTCCGTCGTCGTCTGTGTCAATGTTTTACTTTTTCGACTTCTTCTTGAAAACTACAAGCCTGAATGCTTTTATACTTGGTGTATAAGTACCTTGGGTAGATTTGTTCATTTCATGATGAATCTTCAATTCAATTTTGGTGAATATTTTTTCATTTTTGGTAAAAAGTGATATTTTGGACTTCTTTTTAAAAAAGTCCAATTGCTTTGATATTACATATATAGGTACTACCGGTACATGTGAACCTCTCTCCGATTTTTTTCATTTTGTGATGATATTCTTAATTCTCTAATTTTGATGAATATTTTTGTCATTATTAGTGAAAAGTGATATTTTTGAATTCTTGTTGAAAAAGGCAAGTCTGATTGTTTGATACTATACATATTGTTCATTTTCTAATGATATCTTCTGTTCTTTAATTGAAATGTGCATTGCTAACAGCGGGGCTATCTCAGTCGACAGGCTGCTTGTTTAATTTCACAAAGAAAACAATTAATTTTATTGTTTTACATGTTCACATTGATTTAATTTAGCAGATTTTACTTTTAATTGAAACCCAATGAATAATTAATGCATCATCAGTAGTAAAGCATGAAACAGAAAACTAGTGATGGGTGATGGGAGTGTATCCTAAGCAACCATAATGATGCACACTGAAATGCAAAGGCTCATGGGTAGATACTTTTTATAAACAATGGTAAGTATAATTTTTATTTCAACAGGAGTATGTTAATTAGGTTTTAAATTAACAAATTTTAATATTTTTTTGCAGATGTGCAATATTTTTCATGTACGCTGAAAAGTCGAGAGTCTATCACTCATGATTCTTATTTGCTATGTTTTGAGTTACCAATAGCAACAAGAATGCCAGTACCCATGGGTTACCATGTTTATCTCAAGGTGTCTGTTGAAGGTGAGATTGAACATCATCCTAGGTGGACTATTAAATAATACCACTCAGTCTGTGACAGTTAAGACAATAATTGTTTATTGAACATCAAAAGACATGTGATTTATATGTTGATATCAGTAAAGTGTTAATTTAATTTGAACGAACAAAAGCTAAATATCGATAAACATATTTATACCAAGGGTTTTCATAAAAATTTCAAGTTTTTTGTAATTCAATAAATGCTAGAAAAGTCACTGTGAATTAATGCAATGTTGAAATTGTTGTTAAAATCATCTGCACTGATTGTCCACCTTATAACCATGGCAAACGCTTTTGCTCACACTATATGCATAATGTTTGTACTAAGATGTTTCACATATTTTTTTTCGTTTGCTTTCTTTTCAGAGATGGACCTTATTAGGCCATACACTGTTGTGTTGCCGTCCCTTGTAACTAATCAAATTGCTCAAGAGATACTTAATGGACGTATATTTTATTTAATTATAAAACTTTATCCAGAGGGCGCTCTCACTTCTGTTATCAACAAATTACAAATTGGTAAGATATTGGAAATGATATTCAAATCATGCAGGAAAATCACTTTTTTAGCATGTACACCAACTCAAAGACTGAAGGACCATAGTACGTGTTGGGACACATCTAAAAATGAATGATGAAAAATGAATAATACACGTGTATTAGATCACAAATACCAGTGACTTTTAGACTGCTTGATATTTGGACCTACAGTAAGCACGTTTTAAAATTGTCAAAATAATTTACTCTGATCTTGACCTTGATTCTGCCCATCCCAAGGTAAATTAGAGACTTACAGAAAAATCTTCTTCAATTTTAAATACTGTTATCACATGCATAATGTCTGTATCACGACAGTGTGACGTATTACAAAACTGGTCGAAAATGCATATAACATAGTTTGACATCACTTACTGTGAATTGTTTATGGTACACTCTGTCTAAAGGTTGGCCAAGAGCTTTCGGGTTTATATATGTTTTGAAAATTACAGATTGTGGTAAAGATGATTCATTTTGGAATTGTTATTCATTCCCTCCAAAAATTAAGTGAAATTGAAAAAAAAAAGTCTTAGCAAATTGTACCAAATATCCTGAATGAGTAGAATTGCTAAACAGTGTGCGTAAGGCGTTTGCGTCAAATAGAACATATGACTTTATGAGGCACGCAACAATAGATTTATTATTCAGTGTTATCACAGCTATAGTTCCACTTTCAACTCTCTCAGTCGTTTCACTTCTTTCAGACTGTGAAAATATACATGTGATAAGTATATAATCCCAAGATGTTTTCACTCAGGTTGATGTAAGGATCAACATCAAAAGTTCAATGTAGGATAAAAAACTTAATTCCTTTAGTTTTTTACCAAAACACTGAAACTTAATTGATAAATATTGATAATAGGACAGTAGTATGGCATAGCAGTTGGTTCTAGGTCCATGCCCTGAAATTGACCTCATTTGACGTACATATTTACACTCGGACCAAACCATTTTCTCGACTTGGATAGTTTTTTTTTCATTTTCTGTTATTTTTGTCCATGATTGGATAGAGAAAAAAAACGAACTACAAATACTCAGAGATTTGTTTGACTTCATTAAAAATAAAATCGATTTTGTAGGATGGAAACTTTTTGAGGTCAAACCCCCCCACCCCCACCCCTCACCCCCAAACTAAAGCAAATAAGTATTTTTATCCGATATCGATCTTTTGACGTGGTCCCTAAGCAGATAAGAGTCAGAGTAGCATCTATCTTCACATCACTCTGCTACGTCAACTTAAGAGAAAAACTCAACCCACGTAATCAACCATTACATAAATGACATCAGATATGTACAGGGACGCTTAAAAATAATAGTATAGCAATGTATATCTCATAAGTAGTATCATCTTTATTGGTTAGCTGGAACTTGTCATGATTGGTCGATGACCACACTGACTGTTAAGGAATTCTATATGGGCAGAATTCGTCATTATATTAATACATTTTAGTGTTTTTCCCGTTCAATGTGTGATCTTGCGTAATATGTGAATAGCGTGGATTGAATGTTTGCTACAAAATATGAATGATTTGAATTTCGATCTTGATTTTTTTTTTTTTTTATACTGTAGCTTCATGTCGAAATGGTGTCCTTTCAGATTGGATTATGAAATTTAGATTCCCTTACTTTATCAAAATTAACATGAACCATACATCAGTTTTTGATGAAACTTGGTGCATAGATGCTCTGGGCCAATGCGCAGATTTGATTAGGTTTTGGTAAAAAGCCATGCATATTAATTACCTAATTTGCATGATAATTAGCTGATTTTTAGGTGTTCCATGACTGTTCCACTGATATCTAAAGAACCACTCATTGGATTTTGATGAAACTTGGCACACAGATGCTCCAAACTAATGCGCAGATTTGATTAGTTTTGGGTAGAAATCTGTGCAATATTAATTACCTAATTTGCATAATGATTAATCAATTTTCGGCTTTTCCACTGATATCTCAAGTACTAATCATCACATTTCAATAAAACTTGGTACATAGATGTCATAGAACACTGCACAAACCTGATAGTTTTTAGGGTAATATGAGTACATATTAATTATCTAATTTGCATAATTAATTAATTTTCAGCTTTTGATATTTCAAGTAGTAATCATCATATTTCAATGAGACTTGCTACATAGATCTTCTAGGATTATGCAGACACCTGATTAGTTTAATTGGATATTAATTACCTAATTTG